AGGTCAATCTTTACATTAAAAAAATGTAGAAAACTGAAGACACGGCAGTTAATAAAAATAAAAAGACCAAATTCTTTCCTCCACTGAATTTTATGATGGGCAGGGAGAAAAAAAAAAAATATATATATATATATATGAACTAAAATGTAAAGTAGAAGGTAGGTATCAAAAGACTGTAAGAAGAGGCAGAAGAGATCCATTATAATATGAAAGGAGGTAAGGCAATCAAGGAAGGATTCAAAGGAGGCTGGCACTTGAGATTGGTCTACAATATAAGTAAAATCTTGATAAGTACAGAATGATGACAGCAGAGGACTGTTCCAAGAAAGAGGGTCTTTGTTAATGGTAATAAACACAGTGTTTATAAATGATAACTGATTGAATTTTTTGTGCATAATGCTTCAAAAAAGACAAGGACCCATTCTGACCTCATGAAGTTTTTAATGTGGTTTGAGAAAAAAAGGATACATATAAATAACAACACAAGATGCTATGTTCTAACATATCTTAGTTATACCTGTAGCAGATAGTCTATTTCATCAATTTTATAATGTATACTGTAGGTAGTTTGCAGCTAGATTAAATAGTATTAAATGTCAAGATAAAAATTTATGACTTTATATTTTAGATAAATGGAAGCTAAGGACTTTGTGAGAGTAGTGCACTAATGTCAAAAAGTATTTCTAAAATATTAATCTGTTCATTAACACAGAATGTATTCAGGATAAGAAACACTTATTGTAGGAAAACCTGTTAGAATGCTCTTGCTCTTTCTATGGTCCATGGTTGAAGAATTAAGTGTTTAGATTACTGATTCAACTAGCATTATTTTAACATCCATTGTGTGCCAGGTGCTGGGATTTTAAATAAGAATGTGAGGCCTGGGGTTGTGGCTCAGTGGCAGAGTGCTTGCCTCGAACATGTGAGGTACTGGGTTTGATCCTCAGCACCACATAAAAATAAAAATTAGAAAATAAAGATATTTTTTAAAAGAATGTGAAAATCATTACCCTCAAAAAAGAGTATAATACAAATAAATAATTATAAGATAATGATAATTGTGACATGATTATGTAACAGGTGATATGACAAATACAAGACACAATGAAAACTATGGAAGCAGAATGGCTAGCTTGCCTAAAGAGAAAATTAAGGTTGTTTTATTGAGGAGGCAACATTTGAGCTGAGTCTTGAAGAAATGGAAAGGTATGGCTAATATAATATGCTATCAGTCAAAATACTGGAATGAAATGACACAGCATGTATAATGACTTGCAACTAGTTAGTTCTATGTGGTTAGTAGACAAGAGGTTAGATTGGAAAAGGTAACAATGGTCCATCAGGAAAGGTCTTTTATACATGACAGAGAATTTGGAACTTATACTGTGAGTAATTAAAAAATAGATATGGTTTTTGTCTAAACAAAATGCAGTTTTTAAAAGTCACTTGGATTTTACTGGTCAACAGATCTTATCTGTTTTTAAGGATCAAGGCAAAGATGACTTTAAGGTTTATGGCTGGATTAACCCCCAAATGGTAAGCACTGAAGAAACATAAAAAGCAAACAAGGAAGGTAGTTTTGTAGAAAAGATGAGTTTTGTTACTCACTTTGAGTTTGTGGTCATGCTGGAACATAAGTGTAATTATCTAACAGAAAATTAGAGACATGGGACTCATAAAAAGAGTCCATAGAGATTTAAAAGATTTGAAGGACAAATACGTCTGAAGCCTAGAAGGTAGATTAGAGCTCTGAGGAGAAAACAAAGAGAATAATCATCACTGACTAGAGAGAGGATGAAATGCAGATAGGAGAAGAATAGTTTTAGGATACAGAGGAAAGACAAGGTACAAAAGAACTTGAAGCAGAAACACAGGAGACCATTTTTGCTAGGTTATACATAAAGCCTGAACTAGAGAATGGATGACTTTTCAGAGTAAATGTTCTGCAATGCTAAACACTAAAGAATTAAATAAGTAAATGTCATTTATACACTCATACATTATTCACAGCATTATTCATACAGTTAGCATTATTCACAATTGTCAAAAGGTAGAAGCTGCCCAAATGTTCATCAACAGATGAACAGATAAACAAAATGTGATATACACATACAATGGAATAAATACTGTGTTTAAGCCTTAAAAAGGAAGCAATTCTGAGACATGCCGTAACACAGATGAACCTTGATGACCATTATGCTAAGTGAAACAAGACAATCAAAAGGACAGATATTATTTAGGCACCTGATTAAAATGGCAAATTTTATGTTGTGTTATTTTACCATAATTTTAAATATTAAAAATAGAAAATGTCTTAGGAATCATTTCTAAGTAGCCTGGAATAAAAATTTTACCATGGATTTAGTTCCTGAGGAACAGAATTAGCTAAGTGTTGTCAAAGCAGGAGGAATTTTTTTTTTTAAAAAAAGGCAAAAACACACATAAAATTATCTTATGTACTACAGATTGTATGAAGAAGCAAAAAATAAGAAAAAATTAGTTCCTTTCTATTTAACTTTAATAAAATAAAACATCTATAATTTGCTTACTTGACAGCCAAGCAGCTGGAGAATGGGAATGTTTCTTTTAAAATAAGAACACAAAAGCACTTGGTATTATCATGACAAAATCTGTTAGCTTTAATTATCAGTTACAGTTGACTGACTGTAAACAGATAAATTTTATTTTAATGTACTTTTGTTTTGGTTATAAATAAAATAAATAGACATCCTAATGGATGCATCTATCATAAACTTTTAAATAACTAACTGAGAACACAGAGTTGAAAAGTCAGACTTCAGTTCAACATAGCCTATGCAGGGCATAAATATAAAACTGATAATTAAATATTTTAAAGGGAACAATGCTATGAGTACCCACCAAAGAAATCACACAAAGTTGTGGTCATTCTCAAAATACCACCACTAAACTAGAGGTGTGTAATGCAACAAATAATATCTATTTTAAAAAACCTGGTATAGTTTTGATCTTAAATGTTCCTGAAAATCCATGTGTTAAGGCTTGGTCCCTTGGGTGATATTATTAGGAGGAGTGGAACTTTTCAGAGGTAGAGGCTAGTGAGAGGACCCCAAGTCACTGAGGACATGAGGATTGTTGGACCCTGGTCCCTTTCTTTCTTTTTTGCTTCTTGGCTCATGATGTAGTTTTATTCCATCATATATTGCCATGATATATAGACTCACCATAGGCCCAAAGTGATGAGGCCAATTGATCATGGACTAAAATATCCACAAAATAAACTGTTTTCCTCTTCATATGTTGCTTATCTCAGGTATTTTATTATAATAACAGAAAGTTGACTAAAACAATAATAATATGTATTTTTTGCTTTTAAAGGCGGTAGATTCAGAGTGAGAATTTTGTGACACCAATAAGAGGGTCAGTTAAAGTCATACATACTTTTACTATTTGAGGCACTTTGCATATTATAACCCCAAAAAATGCCAAAGGAGGGTTTAAAATTTTATGGTCTGTTTTAAATGTTTACATTTAATATAGTAATTCTCTTAAAAAGAAAAATACAGTCAAACAACTACCAGTAAAAAGATAGTATATTATGTGGCTCACAAAAATGTTCATTCACAATGAATAACATGTAGTATTATTGTCCAGCAACAGGAAACAAATTAAAAGAAAAAAATATTATAATCCTATAAGTACATTACTGTGATTTTTGTCTTTTTAACCAGATTTGAAGTTTGTGTCAAAAGTCTACATTTGAGACCTTTTGTAAATAAATGTGAAATGCTCTCCAGATTTCATCAGCATTCTCAAAGAGCAAATTTTCAAGATAAAATAAAATATAAATTGTGGAAATGTCTTCATAATGTGTAAATTTCTATATAAATGATACTTAGTCATTATTTTATTACAATTTCCTAAAATGACTAATTACCTACTTAAATCAATAATAAAAAAGAGTAGATATGATTTGAAAAATATTTCTATGAAGCTGATTGTCAAAACCTAAAAGTACAATTTAAAGTATTACAGCTTACACAAGAATTTTCAATACAAATGGGAAAAAAATCAATAAGAAAAAATGTATAATGCAGTATAAAAATGGTATAAAAAAACTTATACAGTTATATGAATCACTGAAGCAAGATGAAAAAATGCAGTAACAATAAGCGGTACCGTATATACTCAAAATGTGTACAAGACACATATTAGCTCATGCACAAAAGAAACTCTCAAATTCAAATAATCAATATAGAATCTACATAGGAAGTGCATGCCCTGTGCTAGGCACTGGGCTTTATTTAAGAATGCTAATCTTATTTAATTCTTACAACTAAGTTTCATTATCACAAATTCCTAAGAAAAATGAAGCACAGAAGGGCTGAATGATATCTGAAAACACAAAGCTAGTAGAAAAAAACATATGGCCTAACTGCACAGCCCATGTTCTTAATCACAAATCCCTTCTTGCTTCCCAAATCCAACTAGCCATGTGATTTCAGTACAATTTTTACTAAAAAATACATAAATTTCCCCATTATATTTTTATATATTGCAAGAATAAAGAAAATGGTATAGTGGAAACAGCAGAGATAAAGGTAGCTTGGCTCCAGGTCTAGTAAGCAATAACTGCCAAAGTTAAGCTCCTTAGTTAGCATGCTATTTTTCTCTTTGTAAAATAGAGATGGTAGTTCTGTTTTCCTACTTTGCAGGGCTGATGGAAAAATAAAGAAGAAAACACATATGAAAGTATTTTTAAAAGTTTAATATTTTTAAAGATGTAAAACATCATTATTTAAAGGCTTTATGCCTATTTCTAAAATGCAGTATTGATAATAAAAGAAACATAAGTAGGCTTAGGAAAATACCTGGCTATTTAAAATAAAGAATTTTTAAAAACAAAAATTTAATTTATTTTTTAATTATCATTTAATTTAATTTTTAATCAAAGATGGTTCTACATCTTTGATTTTAAGTTGTAGCACACAACATATATCATAACAACATTTTTTGTACTCTCTTAATGATTAAAAGTGGCTAACATTTCATTTAATGGTTTGGAAGTAGATGGGATGTTCAAAATATAATAAGCTTATTTCCTTCTTTATAGATGTTTCCTTACCCCTTACAATTTTTGCAAGGTAAATTTACTTTCACCTTGAACTACTAAGATTCTCTCCAACTTTTCAATTTTTTTCATGATGACTTTTTAGTTTTGTGTATGTTCATATATAAACAATAGTACAAATGTTTATAAAGCACATTCTAACATGTCAGATATTAGGATAAGAACTGGAAATTAATAGAAAATAACAATGCAAAACCTAGTACTATCAGACTCTTTTCTGTGGCATAAAAGTGAAAGCATATTCTTTTCAGACTAAGCTTGCCTTAAATTCAAACCTACTAAAATAAGGCATAAAAATGGTAAATACTTGGTGTATTTCATTCTACTTTTAGTCAAACACACTTAACAAAATGATGAAAATGTTTACTTACTCGTATACCTTTAGGACCTGGATTACCTTCTGGTCCAGCTAAACCCTAATGTGAACAAAAGACATTGTCATCATACTATAATACTTTTAAAAATTTATTAACAAAAAGATTAATAAAAATATAAGCACTATCATTTAAATATTATAAAATTCAGACTTTCTATTTAGAAAACTCTATAATGAAAATTACAAATGTGCAAGGAATGTCAGTACCAAAAGAGTCTTTGAATATAATGTATACACAAATATATTTTAGTTATCCAAATATAATACATTAATATATATTATCAGATAAAAATTTTTTCACTGAAGTATTTCTCATTTCTATATTGTTTTAAAACACTTCAAGTTAACTTACTCTAAAAGATATCCCCATACATTTTAAAAGATAAATACATTTTAAATTTTAAATCAATGTCCATATGCTGAAGTATTCATACTTTATACTTCTCAAACAACATATATCATCTCTTAATCATAGCAGTATAATGTATAATACCTCTAGTTATTTCTGAAGGCATAACAATAGACTTTGTTAAAATATATTGTTTTTTAGATTTATTATTCCCTTCATTCCTAAGTATACAAAAAAGATAACAAATGTAGACTTCTACATTTAATTAATTAATTTTAGAAATAATCAGTTCTTGAAAACCTAGGAAGGAAAACTTGCTCTATTATTAGTCACATTAAGAAGTTAGGAAAAGTTATGAAATTAGAGGGAAATACATATGAAATGATTAAATAAATTTCCAAAGCAGTATAACAAAAGAATTGAATTCAATTTAGATAAAAATATTTGATAGTGGCAACTATTTCCCAGGTTTTTGTAACTGTGTAATTAAAAAATAATGCTTATAATGGACAGTCTTAAAACTAAAAACTAAAAACTCTTTCTTTTACTTCATTTTGGTCAATGGCATTGAGCTGTTTTAAGAACTTATTAGACTCTTGGGCATTTTAATTTTGAAGGTTCCACTGCACAATCACATTAAACATGATTAAAAGTCCCACTCCCATTTCAAACAAAACTTTCAATGTAAAATTTTTGAAAAAAAATTTACAACTTTGATTTTTAAATTATTTCTCTTTCATGATTTAATAAAAGTAAACCTACTGTCATTTGAACATTAACTCTCAAAATCAGAACATACAATGTATTCACCAAGAGAAATATAAAAGGAGAAATGTAAATATAGTTACTGCACCTGCCTGCCAGGGTAACCATGTGAACCAATATTACCAATCCCTCCTGGAATTCCCTGAAATGAGAAATGAAATAAATAAAACAATATAACCAAGCCAATGGAGTCCAAAAGAAACAAATTTGGTGCATTTATAATAGATAAGTTTGGAAAGAACTTTTCCACATTAAATTATTGAATCTTGAATATTTTTTATCTGACTTAAATCAACTATTTGAAAGAAAATGAACCAAAATTGCTAAATAAAAATAGGAGACAGTTTAATTTAGGGTCCTGGATGAGATGCTGATAATTAATAATTACAAATCTAGAACGGAAAAATCTAGTGCTACATTTATTTGAGATAAGGAGCTGGTGTATTTTTAATAATCAGTATCTTTTTGGATTAAATTCCTTCAGGTTTCCATCACACTGCAAGACTCCTTAACAGTCTGAACATGAGTCCCAGAAGACTAAGAGAGGCAGTGAACCCCCAAATCCAATCTCTTCTTTCCTAAGATAAAAATAATCTTACAGCATGTCTAAGTAAATAGGTGTTAAATAATAAACACCTTTATTGTGATATAAGTCTACCTGAAATTCACAGAATGAACTTGAATGGTGCTATGGACTGAATGTTTGTGTGCCTCCAAATTCACATATGAAAATCCTAATCCTAATGATCATGACTAATACATGTATACTAAGGATACACAGCATATTAAGAGGTGGGTCTTTGGGGTGGTAAGTAGGTCATGTGGGTAAAGCCTTCATTAAAAGGATTAATGCCCTTATAAAATACCAAACAGTTATCCTTTCTACCTTGTAAGGATACAGAAAGTTGGTAGTCTGTAACCTAGAAGAAGCCCTCTCCTAAATCCGACCATGAAAGCATGCTGATCTCAGACATTCAGCCTCCAGAACTATATGGCATTCTATTTTAGCAGTCCAAACTTATTTAGATACAAAGCAAATTAATTTGGAATGTACAACATTGTATTCTTAATTTAAAAGAAGATTTGCTCAAGGAAAGCTGATAGAGACTTCAAGGGATAAAAAAGGAAACCCGGCGTAGAACTGGGTAGAAAATTAAGACAAAGTTCCTCTTTTTTTTCTTTGCATTTTCTTTTATTGATAGATCATTCATTCATTCATCAGCCTATTGAGAATTTAAGTCTACCAAATAATTCTTGAAATGAGGAAATGCTAGGAGAATGTATGTTGAGTTGCCTTTATGCTGAGTTGATGACAACAATGGTAAGTTTTCTAGATTCCTTATTTATGATGTAAAATTCATTGCTTATGAAAGAAGTGTTTTTCATACCAGCACTTTTACTAGCACTTTTTCCCCCTGTTCTTAGGTAGACAGAAGGGAGACCTTCAGTAAATACTGACACATTAAAACTTCTAAAAACTTAGAAAATCTAAAGAAAGAACAAACTAAGGAAAAGGCAATGGGAAATCATAATTTCAAGAATTATTTTTCTCAGAATACTTCTTTCACATTTTTTTCTCATTTTCTTCTTCATGTCCCCTACCCTTCCCTTAACCAATTACAATTTACTAAGTCCTTTTAATTTGTCAAGCAACTTACACCTGCTTTACATATATGAGATAAGATACTATTTTTCCCATTCCACATCTAATGAAACTGAGCACTTATGACAATGGCCAATTTCCTATGAATAAACACTTTCTGGGGATTACAGAATAAAGTGATTTTTATTTTATAATGTTCAAAACTCTATAGGGTTGAAATCATAATCCCTACAATAAAGATGAGAAAAAGTGAGACATAAAGTGTTAAAAGTCACCAGTGGAAGGACACACAGCTAGTTAGTGGGAAATGAGAATCTAAATCAACAATTCTGATTCCAGAGATCACCATGCAAGTCTGCTTCCCTAGTTTGAGTGTGAAATGCAAATAATTTCTAATACTAGTCTAAGGAAAATCTTCTAATTATAAGAGATTTGTTCCACCATCTTTATAACTGCCTTCCTTTATGCTCTATACAATTAGGAAATATACAGGCCTATATCTAGACATTCACAAAACCTTATATTTGGGTATGCCAATAGAAAAGAGACAAACAAATTTAAAAGACTGCTTTTATTTTGTAGATCGCTATTGATCCAGCTAAGGCCAATCATCAGCCCCCTTTCCCATTCCTTTCCTAGCCAAATTAGGTCAATTGGCATTGATAAAAGGCTAATTGGTAATGGGACATAAATGAAATCTAATTTTGAATGAATTTTCACATGTAAGCTCTAATACATTCCAGTCACATGGAGAAAAAATACAAAAGAATTCTACATCATGTCTGTGTTCTGCTATGCTATAATAGCATTAAACAGAAAACAAGGAAATTTTCAGCAATATTTATAAGGTATAAACATATTCCAAGCTAATCACACCCTAAAATCACTGCAACAACCATAGAAACTCAAAAAGAGATTTTTTTAAAAGTTGCCTTACTCATATCTGTAGATTGGATGGAAGAACATACAGTAATATTACTAGTCCATTGAGAAATTAGGATTAGGAAAGCCACCCATTAACACTTCTCACTCTAAGCATTAAAATACCTGTGTTGAGTTGATCAGATTTCATTTAAAATTTTAGTACTGCTATGTCTATATCTCAATTTCCTCATTAATAAAATAAGAATAACCAGAGAATACCACAGGAGCTCAGGCCTGGCCCAGATCTGCCCACACTGACCTCTGAGGGACCCAAGCTCACAGTAGTCACCAGTCTATCCTGCCACCAGAGACACCTGCCTGAGCTCCTCCGACACAGTATTACCTCTTCATACCAGCAGAACACCGCAGGAGCTCAAGCCCAGCCTAGATCCACCCATACCAATATATGTGGGATCCAGGCCCAAGGTAAGTCAGAGTTCACCACCGCCTCCCTCACACACCTGGCAGCCCAAGCCTAACCCACTTCCATCTTGGGACACTGCAGGCATCACCATAACTTTCCCCACGCAGTAGCCCCTACCTTTTTAACAATAGACAGGGGCTATAGAAGCAGCTGCATTTCAGAGCAGGCATGCCAAAGACAGTGTAAAGCCCACCCTTTCAGCCCCATCTCTGTAAGACACTGCATCCTCCTTGGGGCACCTTCACTATTATATCAAGTTACCTCAGCTATTGCCACCACCACCTTTAGTTGGAGTAGCATATATTGAGGGGCACCAGCAGGATCTGGAAGCTCAACATCATGGTAAGGTACAGATAATCTGCAGGGGAACTACAAGAATGTAGGGTAGAAACTATAATATATCATATCCACACTGCAAGAAAGGAAGACAAAGAGACAACATAAAAAACAAGGGAGAAAAGTACCCCAAACAAACCAGGACACCACAATTACAGAACCTATGAATAGCAAAGTTGATGAAATGTCAGAGAAGGACTTCAGAAGGTTCATAATTAAAATGATCTGTGAATTAAAGAATGACCTAAATGAGCAAATACAGGCAAAAATTGATCACTCCAACAAAGAGATAGAACAAACATAGGTAGCAAAAGATTACTTCAAGAATGAGACAGAGACTCTGAAAAAAAAAACAGTCAGAAATCCTTGAAATTAAGAAAACAATAAACCAAATAAAAAACTCAATAGAAAGCATAACCAACAGACTAGATCATTGGAAGAAAAAATGTCAGATAATGAAGACAAATATATGGTGTGGAAAATAAAGTTGACCACACAGTGAAGATAGTAAGAAAGTATGAACAGAACATCCAAGAATTATGGGATAGCATCAAAAGACCAAATATAAGAGTTATTGGGATAGAGGAAGGCACAGTATTTCAAGCCTAAGGAATGCATAATCTCTTCAATGAGATAATAAGTTCCCAAGAATGAAGCATGAATTGGAAAACCGAATACAAGAGGCTTACAGGACACCAAATCTACAAAATTATAACAGATCTACATCAAGGCACATTGTAATGAAAATGCCTAGCATACAGAATAAAGAAAGAATCTTAAAAGGTGCAAGAGAGAGGAATAACAAATAGGGGGAGACCAATTTGTACCTCAGCAAATTTTTCAACCCAGACAAGAGAACATGGAACAACATATACCAAGTTCTGAAAGAAATGGATGTCAACCAAGAATCTTATATCCAGCAAAATTAAGCTTTAGATTTGATGATGAAATTAAAAACCTTCCATGATAAACAAAAGTTAAAACAATTTACAACTGGAAAGCCTCCACTACAGAACATCTTCGGTAAAATATTCCATGAATAGGAAACGAAAAACAATGATGAAAATCAGCAGAGGGAGGTATTACGCTAAAGGAAAAACTAATCAGAGGAGAAACCAAGTCAAGTTAAATACCAAAAAATAAACAAAAATGGGTGAGAATACAAATCATGTCTCAATAATAATAACCCTGAATGTTAATGGCCTAAACTCACCAATCAAAAGACATAGACTAGCAGATTGGATTTTAAAAAAAAAGACCCAACAGTATGCTGCCTCCAAGAGACTTATCTCATAGGAAAAGACAAGTACTGACTGAAGGTGAAATGTTGGGTAAAATCATACCACTCACATGAACAGCGGAAGCAAGCAGGGGTTTCCATCCTCATATCAAATAAAATAGACTTCAACCTAAAGTTAATCAAAAGGGTAAAGGAGGACACTACATACTACTAAAAAAACCATATGCCAACAGACATAACAATTATAAATATATATGCCCCAAACTATGGAGCATCTATGTTCATTAAACAAACTCTTCTCAAGTTCAAGAGTCAAATAGACCACAACAAATAATTAATTTTGGGTGACTTTAACTAACCTCTTTCACCACTTGATAGATCTTTCAAACAAAAGCTGAACAAAGAAGAATATAACTCAATAATACAATAAATATCTTAAGACTTAACTGACACATATAGAATATTTCATTCTTCGACAAGCAAATATACTTTCTTCTCAGCAGGACATGGATCCTTCTCTAATATAGACCATATATTATGTCACAAAGCAGCTCATAGCAAATATAAAAAATTAGAGATATTACCATGTATTCTATCAGATCATAATGGAATGAA